ATGATAATCAGCACTTTTTTGAGGGCTATGCCCAGCTTAACCGTTCACTCTATGGGCTGAACGGTGCGCCGGAATGGTCTTCCATTCTCAAGATCCTGCCTGAAATGCAGGGGCTTAGTATTGTCGATCTTGGTTGTGGGTACGGCTGGTTCTGTCGTGATGCACGCCACAAGGGAGCAAAACATGTACTCGGCCTGGATATTTCTGAGAAAATGCTAAACAAAGCCAGAGAGATGACATTGGATAGCGCGATTGTTTATCATCAACAAGACCTGCAGCTGCTCAAACTCCCCGAAGATACATACGATTTGGCCTACAGCTCACTCACATTGCATTACATTGAAAACTTGCCTACACTGCTGAAAACGATTTATCTCTCATTAAAGTCGGGTGGTTATTTAGTCTTTTCTGCAGAACATCCGATTTATTCCGCTCCAAAACATCCCGAATGGATAATCGACAAAGATGGACAAAAAACATGGCCTGTGAACAATTATCAGGCAGAAGGACGCCGTGTAACCAGTTGGTTGGGTGAAAGCGTTATTAAGCAACATCGCATGATCGGAACTTACCTCAACTTGCTCATTGAGCAAGGGTTTATTATCACGCATGTTGAAGAATGGGGGCCCACTGCACAACAGATCATCGAAAACCCTTCGTTGAATGAGGAGAAAGAACGACCTATGATATTCCTTGTTTCTGCTCAAAAGCCTCCTAATAAATGAATTTTTTGTTACGGTACCATCTCCAAACCCTACTTTTTCTTTTTCGATCATATTTAAAACTTCATTGGCAAGGTTATCTCACTTGTCTCTCATAAAGAATTCGCCACCAATTCGGTCTTCTGCTTATCGAATGTAAAAGGTTTTCCTGAGAAGGCTCAGTCTGTATCCCGTGCCATGACGAGATGGAACCAAAATATTAGAGCGCAAGGATGGCTATGTCTTTGCTACGCACAGAATCAGCCTTGCTAAAATGCATTTTCCATTTATGGTGTTACTTGTGTCCTTGATCTCACATGTGACACCTGAGGGTGTGGGTGTGGGTATGGGTATGTGTGTGGATGTGAGGGTGT